CCCATGTCGATGGAGAGTAACTGGTCAATCTCCACCGGGGTTTTGGTGTTCATTCTGAACCTTGTGATGAACGCCTCCGCCAATTGCGCCCAGGAGGCTATGCTGCCTTCTGGAAGTTTTTTGAACCAAGTCAAGCCTAGATCACCAAGGCTTGATGGGAAGAGTATGCACATCAAAGCCTCGTTTCGCCGATATACCGCCATAACCTGGCGGAAGTGGCTTAGGTGTATGTAGGGATCCGTCTTCCCCTCATACGTGGTGAATTTGGGTTGAAGGAAACCTGAAGGAAGGGGTGCGTTTTCAATTGCCGGAATGAACGGCGAGGTCTGCAGCCTTGCTAATGCTTTGTCTGTTGGTTCGTAGACAGGGCGTGGCAACGGCATTCCGACCTCGACGCTTCCATGCGTCTGAGGAGCCAACCGCTGAAGGGCAGATACTCTGTGAGGGTTGCGCGCCCTAGTATCCTCCTTCCATTGTGCCTTTTCTTCTAGCATGATCCGCAAATCGGATGATCTTGGCAACTCCGTCTGCCTGGATGATGTCTGGTGCGAGCGCGATGGTCGATAGGTACTTCCCTCTGTGTAAGACCTCAATGATCTCGTTCTCTCAGACCTGGAGAAACGAGTTCTGGAGGTTTTGGATTGAGTATCGCCTGTCGTGAGGTTTCTACTCTCTGCTTGTGATGGTGTGGAATGTCTTCCACGGTCTTCTGAGCGGCGAGGGGGCATCTTGTTTTTGCGCCCTTCTCCTGTCGCCACTCCTTTTTCCTTTATTTGGCGCTTCATAATCTCCATGTCCGCTGCCATCCGTCGTATTAATTCGTCCTGCTCCTTTACACGGTCCTCCAAAACTTGAGGATCAATCCTCCGCCTTTGTCTGTCAGGACTTCGTGAACGAGAGTGACGGGGGCTGTTAGTCCGCCTCCTCCCCCTGGTATCCCTCCTGGGATTTTGTCGCTGTGGCTCTAAGTCTACCATGGGAGGGATAGAAGGTAGGCCTTCGCGTCTTGTACCCCCCTCTGGCGTTTGTCCGTCGATGGCGGACTGCGGCAAATCTTCGTTGTGCGCCATTGCTTCTAAAGAGGAAAAGCTTGATCAAAAGGTTTTGTTCTTGTCTGAATTCCCACAGACGGCGCCAATTGTACGGGAAAGAAATAAGCCTTCTCGTATAATCCTGTTGATCAAGTCTGCGCTCCTCCAAACGTCGTCGCTTCACTCCCTGAAAATACAAACGTGAGCTAGCTAGCGGGTGTGTGCCGGAAACTCCTCCGATGCCTAAGTCAGAAAAATAGACAAAGACAAAAAGCTCTGTGTATCAAAGTTGTGTGTTACCTCTCCAAAGGTGATATTTGTGAGTTTTTATAGGTTTCGTGTGGCATAATCCAAGTAGGACTTTTCCTTCTCCATGCAGAGTCCTCCTAGAATTCATACTCCTGAAGGATAATGCTTATCCTTTAACACCCCCCTCACTGTTTAAACCAAGTGAGATGGTTTTACCATGGCCGGACTACCATACAACCGAAATAACATTGCCATGCTAGACTAACTGGAGTGACCGATCTAACTGTTAGTTTGGCTCTTCCTTGCTTTTCTCCTACCTTGGCTTCACATGCCAAGACCGAGCTATCCATAGGAGAGTTTAAGCCGAACAAACCAAAACCAAGTCCTGAAGAGGGCTCAGTATACTTCGGTTCCCTATGCCATGACCGAACTAACTGTAGCGACCGAACTAACCATACTGCGACAACCGGTACAAGTTTTAGTATGGTGACCAAGCTAACCTCTTTGGGACTGGAGTAACTTTATGGCATTTTTACTCAACCCTTCGCACTGAGGCCCACAACGGCCCAATTTACATATAAATTCCCCCCTCACATTCATAAAAAAAATATTTTTTATAATTTTAATAATGTAGTTTGCACAAAAATAAAACCTAAAACAAATTAATAAATAAAGAGAGGGATTCCTTTTACGTTAAGAGTTCAAATATTCATAAAGCATTCAAAATTAAAAGCAAAAGTAAATGTAAATTAAATATCATTCTTACATGTCAACACTAAAAAAGGAACGAGAGTAGAGAGAAAAAAACATGAGAGAGTGAGAAAGACAATATGGATGCATCAATTTGATAAGTTCTATTACTTTAACTCTCACTATATTTCTCTTATCAAATAACTAAATAAAGTATTAGAAGTAATATGTGACTTTGAGTATTTGATATTTCAAAATTAAGTATTCGATGTTCCAAAATTAATGAAAAATTAATTAAGAAATATCTGATACATATCCGCGAGTATTCAAGGTATTCAAGGAGTAATAGTATTCGATGAGTATATGATATGGATACGTCTCTCTTTTTGAAATATACGTATTTCATAACAATTGGCACACCGAATTCTCGCATGGTTTCACAATTGAGACTCAAGAAATGATAAATTGTATGAATGAGAGTAAGTTGTTGAACAATTTTACGGTGTTTGAAATGGGCTAAAATAACTCATTATAAGTTAAAAAAAGCCAATAAAACAAAACATTCTATCGTATTACTTTTTTTTTTCTTCATATTTTTTCGTAAAAAATCAAATAACCAACTTAATAATCTATTCCCAAATGGAGGCTGGGTATGTTCTAGCTAGGGGTGGTCTCAGTTCGATTTTGGATGGTTTACGGATCGGTTTGGACCCGCCAGCATGTATACGGTTTGAGAAAAATTCAACCCGCAACCGCCCGCAATGCGGGTTACAATTTGTGCGGATAGGGTTCACGGACGTGCGGACGGTTTATGGATTGGATTTTTTTTCTTAAAAAATTTATTTTGGAGCATTTTTTTTCCCATTTTTAAATATTTATTTTGGGCACTTCCCTCCTCCCCATTTTCTAAAATTTGCCAACAATAATAATTAATGAGGTAAAACTTATTAAATTAAAAACACAATAAAATCAATTTCTAACACAAATAAATCATTCAAAATCATAAACTTTTAAATCAAATCATAAACTAAGTGAGTGTTTGGGAAGTGAGTTTTTTTGTAGGTTTTTTTAGTTGTAGGACATTATTGGAGAAATTTTTTTTGTGTTTGGAAAGATAGTTGGGTTTTTTTGTGGTTGGATGTGATGTTTATGAGAGAAAAAGTGAAATGATTATGGGACTTGAAATGATATTTTGTTTGGATTTGTTTTTTTTTTTTTTTGTAACCAATTTATCTTTTAGTGAAAAAAAAAAAAAAAAAAAAAAAAAAAAAACCCAAAATTCTCCTTCCCAAACAATGCCTAACACAAGCACATCTTTCAAAATCCTAAACTAAATCATCAATCTCATTCACTACCTGCTACCCAACAATACAATTAAAGTAAAATCATTCAAAATTCTAAGTTTACCTAAAAGTAATTATTTATTAATTTTTACATTCATTCAAAATGTAATAATAAAATAACAATGGTTCAGGTTTAAAAGAATAAAAAAGTCTATGTGCGAGCGGGTTCTTGCGAGTACGGGTTAAACCCGCAACACGCAGTCATGTCATATTCCAAACCGTATCTGCCCACATTGTATTTGCAAAATTACCTATTTACATGCAGATCGATTTACATGCAGATCGATTCGAATTGGACGGATTATACGATTCGAATAACCCTATATCCGACCCTAGCTTCAGCCTATGAAGATAACGATGAAGACTAACGCTCCTGAAGAATGCCCCATGCGAGTGCAAACTTGGTCAACAAGATTATTTCGTGTTCGTACAGTCTCATATCTTCCTTTCGCAAAGCCTTCAGTTGTTTTTTGAAATTTTGAGTTTTTAAGAGGAATTGGAATTTGTGATCATTGATTGAAGTTTTAGAATTGTATTGTCAAGAAAGAGGTGCTTATTTTTTGGAAAATACTTTGGTTCATATTTGGTTCAAAAACTAATATCATTGAAGATTCTTGTTTAATTTTTTTTTCTAAGATGACACTTTTTGGCTTGAAATCAATTCTTCCATAAACCTTAAAACCCTCTCAATTAAATATATATAAATGATTAGAGTGTATGAAAAAAATAATATTTTATTTTAAAATTTAATGTGTATTACCCTTATTAGTAAATTTACATTAAGATATAATAGAAATTAAAATTTTAAAATTTTAGTTGGGTGTACTGAATTAATATTTGTTTGCAAATAGAATCACCCACAAAATGAAGGATATAAATTATTGAAACAAGGCCCATTTAGACTGGAGGAAAGCTCAACCAATGGAAAAAAATATTGTCAAGCCCACACTTTTGCCTGACCTGCGTAGTGGGGACACTTTGCATAGGTTTTGAGATTAGTCATAGTTTATCTGGATACCCGATCATCCCCTCAAACAATCTTACACTTCTATCATAATTATGTTGATTTCTCTTAAGGTTTTAATTTAAATAACAATTAAACTTTTTTTTAATTAATAATTCATTAATCATACTAAAAATAATAATAATGTTATTATTTCTTTTCTATTAAAATATATATTAATTTGTATTTATTTCAATGTTTGTACACATTCTAAATTAGTTTCGGTTGCTTTAGTAATATTAAAAGAAAAGTCAATGTAATTATATATAAAATGAGTGAGACTAACTTAGTGTTTTTTTTTTCCTTTCAAACTGCACGGAGGTGAGTCTAATTTACCATAAAAATAAAAATAAATTTACAAAAAAATAAAATCACAAAACATGGAGGTAACACTAATCTGATTTTGAGACTAATAAAATTAAGGAGGCACTTACCTATCAATCTTATTAATTAGACTTATTTATCAACAGGTCCTACTAATAAATTTATTACTGTAAATTTATTCATAAAAGGGATCATGAAAAAAATATCATGAAGATGATCATGAAAGATTCTCCACATTTAGATTGCATATACAATAAAACACCACACTCTAATCAAAAGATGAGAAATATTCATTATCCATTTCATGATATTTTTTTTCATGATTCTTAATATTATTCTTCATGAAAACAAGAGAGAATGATAAACTTAATGAGTGATATGTCTCAAAAATAGGACATATTAATAATTTACTCTAAAATTAACATTACACAAGCTTATCGCACCTAAATTACAATAAAAAATGTAGAAGTAAAGATTCATGAAAATACTATCTTATTTATCGGCCAGGTTCTATAGAAACTGTCAACTCATTATTAGAATAGGATGTTTCGAGTTTGTCAAAGGAAGAAGAAGGTTCAGAAGAAATCCACTTCTTTGCAACAAAAGCTGGTTCTTTAGGATTTGGAAGAGGAATTGCAGTTTCACTAGTTAGCATGGAAAGTACATTCGATGCGTTTGGACGATCACTAGGATCTTCTTGTACACACAAGAACCCAACATTTATGCATTTTAAAACTTCACCTTTATTGCAAGATTCGACTAGTGTCTGATCCGTCAAATCCAATGCCTTCTCCTCATTCCACAATCTCCAAGCCTGAGATGATAAATCATCCAATCAAAACATTTTGAATAAACCAAAAGCAATATAAGATTATATATTTTGGTCAAACAAATTTTAGCACTCACATAACCTAAAAGGTTCAAGGCTTCTTTGGACGGATAAAATCCTGTGTTCTTTTTCCCACTGACAATTTCAAGCATAATTACTCCGAAGCTGAAGATGTCGGACTTTACTGAGAACAATCCATCTAATGCATATTCGGGAGACATATAGCCACTGCATTATTATGCCAAATTCTAAACTTAAGTTAATATTAGTAGGATAGGACACATTAGACAAAGAATGAATGATTTGAAATTTGCATCCCCAAAAACATGGCAATCTTAGTTTGATGATGATACCTTCAATCATACTATACTTACTATGTTCCAACAATTCTCATGGTGTTCGCCTCTGTTTCTTTGCCCTTAACTATCCTTGCTAAACCAAAGTCTGAAATTTTGGGATTCATCTCTTCATCTAAAAGAATGTTGCTTGTTTTCAAATCTCTATGGATAATCCTCAACCTGGAGTCTTGGTGAAGATAAAGAAGCCCACGAGCAATCCCCAAAATGATATCAAAGCGTTTCTCCCAATCCAAAGACAAGCACAATGTTCGATCTTGGAAATGATCCATTAAAAAAAGAAAAGCACAGTTAGATTACCATGTTTCATATATATTAACTAGTGAAGAAGCACGTGCTTTGCACATGGCCTGTAAACTATATAGTAAATGTAGCACTGGCATTTGAGGAATTTGGTTATAGAAGCTAACCAAATATGAATGTGTCTAAGCTTTTGTTTGCCATATACTCATAAAGTAAAATCTTTTCGTCGCCTTTGATGCAGTAGCCTAAAAGTCTGACGAGATTCCTGTGTTGAAGTTTGGCAATCAAAACAACCTCATTCTTAAATTCTTCTAAGCCCTGTCCTGAATGACTTGACAACCTCTTTATAGCAATTTCTTGTCCTCCAGGGAATATACCCTACAAGCATATTTTTAGACAACTGTGGTGTCATTAAAGCATAAACAACTTGTTAATGAACTTCAATGAGTAATTAGGAAAGGATATAACCTTGTAAACAGGCCCAAATCCCCCTTCTCCAAGCTTATTTTCATCTGAGAAGTAATTTGTAGCTTCTAATATGCTTTCTAAGTCAAAAAAAGGCACATCAATGCCTTTTTTATCATCCTCTTTGAATTCACTCGAATCTATCAAGTTTTTAACATTTCTTTCCATGTCATACATCTGAAGCGCTTGACTTCCCTCTCTTCTTTCACTACTTCCTGATGTTGAAGATAAATATGCAATTTAGTTATAGAAACTTCTAACATGGAATGGAACAGTGAAATTCTCATTAATATGTTCAGGATATAGAATAACAGTAAAAGAAAAAGAAATTTTAATCAATGCACATTATAGCGCTGACTAATTAATTACCTCGTCTTCTTGCTGCCATTCTTCTTCTACAAAAAATCAAGCTAATGATGCATAATAGCACAAACATGGATAACACAACAAACAAAATAACTCTGGTTTTCCAATTAGAGCTTCCGGATTGCGTAGATCCTCTAGATCTCACTGGAGAAAAAAAACCAAAAGAAAAAAAAAACAAAGAAAATGTGAGAGAGAGAGAGAGAGAGAGAGAGAGAGAGAGAGGATGGCTCTCTTAGATATGAAAAAGCACATAATTGCATCTATCTGATTAACAACATAGGTACCCAATAAGCAACACAAGAGGCAATGTTTACAGTTGATAATCAATTATCAGCAAATCTGACTAATAGTTTCATTCATTTCTCCAGCCATTGGGAAAAATCTAGTACTTAAGAAAAATCGTAAGATATATGCATTATGTAGCATCCCCACCTTGTGTACAAGCTAATGCTGTCCCGTTCCATTGATAGTTTGCATTGCAGTGACACCTTCCCTTGACATCTCTTGTCGCATTGCAACTTGAATTAGGCCAATCCATGCAGTCTATGGCTAAAGTACAAAGTGGCTCAGATGGGGAATTCCAGTCAAATTCTACATCATTGCCATTTCCTGATTGCATTCCACTATAGCACGAGTTAAGCATATTAAAAGGTGATAATGGACTGAGCTGTAAATCTTTGGGTTCTGAATTTTTAGCATCACATCCCTCTTTTTTCACTTTAATAACAAACTTGCGTGTTTCTGGATTGATGTTGATGACTTGAAACGTGCCTCTTAGAATCTGGAAGCTGACTTGGCCTGTTGAGTAATCGCAGATGAAATTTTTGTACATGGGATCACCACAGTTTGGTCCTGTGCTTATTGGATAGGGAATTATGTTCGTGCCACATGTCTCACAACTTCTGTTTGTTGATCCTGCAAGAGTGGATTGTCTTATATGTCAAAAAAAGAGCTACCACTGAAGTTTCAAGATCATGTTTGATTGCAATGTGATGTGTTTATACTTTTATTCTAGGCACATTTATCAGTTACATTACACATATATGCAAAAATCAACATTAAGAATAAATACTAGTGGACAAATCAACTAATATATCAACAATCTGCTAGAGGTGAGGTACTGTGTAAATCATTAATAGGTTGTTGGTTTAAATTTGTCTCAGACTAGTTTTGGTGGTCTGGTTTTGTTTGTTATGTTTGGCATAGGTTGCTTTGTTTCCTCTGTCCTTTGCAGTGACTGTTGTCGTAGTTGGGAGTTGTTTGGGGCTTTGTCAGTTGGCTTCTCATCAACTGTGGCTTAGTGCTGGAGATGATTGTGCTGGTGTATTGGTGCCAACCTAGTTAGGATAAATATGGTTGCTATGATGCTTGTGCACTAGCCTTTTTATTGATGTATCATTAGCACTTTGGAACTTGTTCTAATATTCATCAATATAATCTTATTTTGCTGATCAAAAAAGTATATATCAATAATAATAGTGGTGATACAGACCACTAATTTAGGAGCACTACTGTTAGCACTAATGAGCTAGCAGGGAAAGGAAAAAAAAAGGGGGGGGGTAAAACATCACATCAGGAGGTAGGCCCTACCAACTAGAGCTCTCCTAGAGCTCTTAAATTAGTGATCTTAAACATTTTTCCAATAATAATTGTAGCTAATCACACGATGTGTTCCTACGATATTTGTATGTAATCTGGATTTCCCTAAAAAGAGTTTTCCAAAAAATTCAAAAAGAAATTAAATGATGGTCGAGTAGTTCAACTATATATCCAATCAATGTTACAAAAAATAGTACCTTATAGCCTAGCCTAGACTGCTGACATAATATTAGCTTGAAGATTTTGGGAGCCTGAGACTTGACATAGAATCTATTTGATGCAATGTGAAACGTGTAATAAGAATAATCTTAAAATCCGTTGATTCAAACAAGAATACCAGAAGTAAGATTTCTCTCTAGGCTCGTTGATTCACAAAGAATACCGAGAATAAAGGCTCAACAATGGTTGATTCGCAAGAATACCCAAAGTTGGATCAAAAGAGTTTAAAACTCGAAATATATTAATTCTTAAAACTGAAGAGCCCTAAGGCTTACACCCATTATTTATAAGCAAAATATAGACCTAACTTAACTAGGAAGCAACCAGAATTAGCAACTACCAAAATAGAGACCTAACTTAATTAGCAAACAACCAGAATTGGCAACTACCATAATGCAATACGGAAATTAGGAAATTAAATAACTAAATAATTCCATAACAATATTAATTTTAAAATAATAAAATAAAAATACTTATTTTCTAAATTCAATCTGCATCATTCTTCCCTGTTTGAGAAAACTCGTCCTCGAGTTTCTATTGCTTGAAATAACTTGGCACGTCTGTACTTATCTGCATCAACCTTGTATTTGAAGTTAATTTTTGTAAATCTAAACTTCAAAGAAGAGTTTCCTAAAGGAACAACTTTCTTCAACAAATTTAACACATCTTCATCAAAGCCCAAATTTGAACGGTTGAAACTAAAATTTGTAAACTCTTCATGAAATTTCTCTTCAAACTGATCATAGAAAATATTCTCCATACTGTAAATCGATTTTGAATGCTCATTAAACTCATGTAAACCAAGTACATGATCTTCCACAAAAATAAAATTAACACCAACCCTTCCATAACTCTGATTTATGCTTCCAACAGACAAAATATGATTAAACATATTATTAGTTCCATCAATGAATGATTCATCATCAAAAATCGGTGGCTTACTCTAATCCACAATCGGATCCGGAATAAATTTTGACGTGAAAGGCCATTTAATCAGATCAACTTGTTTAGTGATTTGGTTCACGCGATCTTTATAAATTTTCAATGCATGATCTCTCCTCGGTCTTTCACTATGAAAACTCAGCAGGTTAGAATCATCATCTATTACCTCCTTCTCTTCCACAGGAACCTCCTGAGCATCACTGTGATTCCTAGGCATGAAGCAAGAACGTAGCAAGCTCTGATACCAACTGATGCAGCGTGAAACGTGTAATAAGAATAATCTTAAAATCCGTTGATTCAAACAAGAATACCAGAAGTAAGATTCCTCACTAAACTTGTTGATTCACAAAGAATACCAAGAATAAAGGCTCAACAATGGTTGATTCGCAAGAATACCCAAAGTTGGATCAAAAGAGTTTAAAACTCAAAATATATTAATTCTTAAAACTGAAGACCCTAAGGCTTACACCCATTATTTATAAGCAAAATATAGACCTAACTTAATTAGGAAACAACCAGAATTAACAACTACCAAAATATAGACCTAACTTAATTAGAAAACAACCAGAATTGGCAACTACCATAATGCAATACGGAAATAAGGAAACTAAATAACTAAATAATTCCATAACAATATTAATTTTAAAATAATAAAATAAAAATACTTATTTTCTAAATTCAATCTGCATCAGTATCTATATATAAGCTAAAAATATCAAATTGCATGTTCGTTGCAAATGTAATATGTCGAAAATGAGTTGTTTTTTGTGAATTCAAGCATACTTGTTGAATTTATAAAATGATATATTCAGAATACTATTTTTTCTAATATATCATATAAATGTACTACAATTTTACATACAAATAATTGTATTAGTTTGCTAGGTGAAAACTATCCTTAAACACAAGATTGTCACGTGCTGAACTTCTAAAAACTAATTTTAGATCACGTTCATATCTGTTAGAAAGGCTAATAATAGTTGGACAATCAAATTTTGATACGCATAAAAAAAAATTGGATTTGCCAAAGTCCTTGTACTACTTTAGCATAGGCATGCATCTAGAAGTGAAAAAATACAATAGGAGTTGAAATTAACAATCCGATTTCTACTATTAAGAAAAAGTAAGATGCATACATAGTAGTCTTTGAAAGATGCATACATAGGCCTCGTTTGGAAACAGGCTAATTTAGTAATTTTTTGGCTAATTGGCTAAAAAGGTAGGTAAAAAAAACTTGTATGTTTGGGATGACTTTTTGACTAATTACGAAAAGCTGTGCAAAAAGTAGAGAGAAGCCGTAATTGTTGACTTTTTGGTATGACTAATTGGTTAATTGACTAATTTAGTAACTTTTTGACTGATTGGCTAAAAAGGTAGCATCCCAAACGAGGCCATAGTAGTCTTTTAAAAATACATGTACATTATGACATATTACATATTTATCTTTGTGCACATTGTTCACATGTGACATTGTATAGTACCATGGTTTCTTGCAACCGTAAGGCAACACAAGGATACACCAGAATTTTGAATATTATCAGCCATGTTGCCACTGCGTTTGTGAGCAAATTAAATTATAATTCTGTTGATTTTAAGAAGACCAAACACACAAGAAGAGAAACACTTCTAAAATTTTATTAACCCAAAACTCTTCATAGATAGTCCTAAAAATTATAATGGTATGACTCCGAATCATTTCACCAACAAATGTTAAAAATAACCATAGAACTCACATGTAGTTTTGGCTATTTTGCTTTATCTCCCTATAGTAAATCTGTGCAAATTAAATGAATTTGTGCCATGCGTGGCTAATTTGAAATTTGGCATGGAAAATTTTTTAAAGTTAAAAGTCAAAATACCATGCGAAAACATAAAAACTAGTCTTTATCTTCATCTTCTTTGCTAAACAATATGAAAATCATAATCCTAAAAACCATAACCCTCTATCCACCTACTGCCTGGCAAGTTGGCAACCGCCCCCCCGCCCCGCTTCGCCCCTTTTCCTTCCTCCATGTACCCCACTGCCTGCTCCCTTCAATCAGAAGCTCCTGATATATATATATATATATATATATATGAGAGAGAGAGAGAGAGAGAGAGAGAGAGAGAGAAAGTGTGATCTAAAACATCAACAGCTGAAATTCCAACTACAAAACAACTCCATATATTTTGGCGGGGCTTCATGATTGGATTCCTCAAACAAAATTGAAATATATGATGAATGCTTAATCGGCTAATTAGTAGAAGGACCAACAATATTAAATTTTCTGTTATTGATGGTTTGGGGATTCTAAAGGCAAATCTAGTCATCAATTTACATGGTCCACCCCTTAAGTTTAAAACGTTTTTCAAGGCGTCATCTTTAACGCGGTTTAACTTTGTTCAAAATGGTTAGATGAAAGGACGGGGCTCCTCTCGAGTCACTGGAGAGGAGTGTTGGGCATTGGTGGTTCTTGATTTGGGCTATGTCGATAACCCAAACTGTTTAATGTATAGAACCCGTCAAGTATCCTCAATTACAAAAATTTTAGAAGGGAAGCACTCAAATGGCACTAAGCACTCAAATTTTGTTGACTACTTGTAAGTCTTTATGGTGAGTTAATAAATAAATAAATAAATTGTTCATAAAAATAAATAAATAAATCAAGGGTTTGGTTTCTTTTTTAGTCTTGGATTTGGATTGAAGACTGTTGTCTGGATCTATGGGGCTTATATGAGTTTCGTTTCAATAATTCGAACGATTTATTTTTAAAACCTTTCGTACATATTATTTATGAAAAAATTAAATCAATCTAATAATTGTAAACTCTTTATTTTATCACCCAAAAAAAAAAGATAATTTCATTTTAAAAACACATTTTTTTAATGAATAATATATTTCTAAAAAATTAAGTTTTTAAATTATCAAAACATGACCCAAATTGAACCCATGAGTCTGGTCCGAACACCATACTCCAATTTCTATTATAGAAGGCAGACCCTGAATAAATTAAGCAACACCAACAAGCACAACATCTTCAATTTATTTCGCAGAAGGAAAAGTGGGAAAAATTACAAATCAGTATAAATTTTCAAAAATAATTCCAAATTAGTGATGAATTTTATCAGCTTTAATAATTAAAGCTATAAACTTTTTCATGAATTTGCAAATTTTTTGTGAAGTTTCAACTAATTCACAATTTTCCCAAAGAAGTATACCTATACTGGAAGCCACAACGCGGACGGAGATGTTGTGGGCATCTGTAGCATACTCTTCCTGAAGGTTATTGAGAACGGACTTCCAAATCCAGCAGCCATGTCTGGGACCATCTCTCCTTGGGTTACTAGCTTCATTAAATGAATATGCGTGACATTGGCAATTGTCAATGTCAAGACACTCCTTTCTGCATCCCATCTCATTTTGGACCTCCGAAAGTAGGGTGTCTGGTGGTTTCCCTACTTTCATCATGTTCAAGTTCAAGAACATCTCCTTGTCCCCACCACATATGGCTGACTTCCTGGTGCACCCACTAGAAAAATCCCCAGAGTCCCAACTTTCCTGCGACATAGGCTTAAACCCTGGCAAACACTTGCATAACGACCTATTGTTGTTTATATTGCAGCTACCAAAATCCCCACAAGCATTATAAACACTGCATCCGTCACGCGGCTCAAACCATATCAAAGACCATCCCGATGATCCCGTCTTACCATCGATCCAAATAAAATACTGAACCTGCCCAATGGAATGCATTAACAGCCTCGAATTGTTGCTATTGTTACGGACAGGTACAATTATTGTCTTAGAAGAATTTGAATTTGTTCCAGCGTTGCTTTGGATATTGCTGCTAGAATTTAGAAATACCGCCACAGCATCATACAAGTTGCTGTAGTTATTGAAGCTATTTGGCTCTCTACTTTTCCAGTGAGCCTTATCGCTTTTGAAAACGATGTAACCGTTCTTAACATCTTCATTCTGCTGGAATATAAAGTTGCCGCTTTTTGGGTCGTCGGGCCCTGCCCATGAAGTCAACTTTAGGTTCGCATTCATGTTCATGCCAGGAAGAAACGTATCAGTTGGATTATTGAAGCTTTCCCATAAACTTTTTCCCGATTGATCGTCTCTCACCACCAAATTCCCAGAATCTAAAAGCTTGGCGGTGCTACGAGAGCTTCCGAGATTGGTGGAAAGGTAAATATTTCCACGTTCATCCCACAAAGCTAGACTGCCATTTTTAATGCCAAAAAAACCAGTAGCGGAATCAGGTAGTGGGTTGTCCCGGTTGAAAACCCATACAATTTCTGGGGGTAGCCACGTGTAATACTGTATTCCTACATATCTGCTGCTGCTCTGTCCACTAATGTTCAAGAACCTTAGCTCGAATCTTTTTCCGTCTGATATGAGAGTTTCGTTACTTGTGTTGTTGATCGGATTGCGTGCTGTTATAGTATCTCTGGCAGCACAATAGTGAAGACATGAACATAATGACAACAAAAGACTGCAAAGAAGATGTAAACAGTAGATGGCATGTGATTTGCAGATCATGATTCATGCAATATTGCAGTGCAAATGGAATGGGAGGCAAGACTTTGGTCAATTCTAATCTAACAATTAATTATTGACTTTCACCGATAAAAAGAAAAAAAAAAAGGCAAAAAGGATCTCAATGTATTTGATCACTGATGGTGTGCCATGGCATATGTGGTTGGTGATGGGACGATCAGACAAAGAGGACAGGCGAGATAATCACAGCCAGGCATTCTGCCAAGAGATAAGGCATGTAAGGTGTAATTTCCTCCTTATAAATATGACATCAGCATGACATCAGTAAACTTTATTAAATAGGCTAATAAAAAATAATAGTAAAAAAATTTTGATAATAGTTTCAAAAGTAATTGAAATTAGTGTAATTATTAAAACTACAAGAGAGGTCTTTGTAATTATCAGAAATTTCAGGAAAGGTAAGTATAATTTATCCTAAATATTATGTAATTTTTTTAATATATATATATATATGTATTTTTTTAAAGATTGCCTAATATTGTTCAAACTAAGGCCTTTTTTGAAAATACCCCAAATAAATTATTTATTAACTTATTTCTATCATATCACATTTTTACATTTTTTACACCATTTTTTTTATAAAAAAAAAAGGTAAAAAAAAAAGTCCTACCCAAAACAATCCTAAAAAGTACTGCACACATGGCATGGAATTCTATTGAGTGTTTAGACATTTTGGAATGCAACTTAGGTCTTATTTGACAATATTATTTTTTAGTTTAAAAGTTAAAAAGTCATTAAAAATTAAAAAACTAACAACTTATACAAAAAAGTTAAAGATTCATTTTCTTTTTATTTTTTACACATCTTTTCGTAAAAAATCAAAAAGTCATCTCTTAGCGTGTGTTTGGGAAGACCTCTTCAGGCTATATAAGCCACATGCGACAAAAGAGCTTCATTTAGCCACATGACGCCAAAAATGCTTGCTAGGGTTTGAGAGGAACCCTTCTACGGGTAAATTGACCAAATTACCCTCACATCTCCTTCTGATTCATTTCGAAAAAAAACCTCACCACACACACACAACAGAACCGTCCTAGGGCACGGAAGAAGCGAACGAGGCGATCTCTCCCAACCAGCGGCGACGACATCAAAATACGGCTTCGCAGAGGCGATCGGCACCGGAGTACGCATCTGGCGGCGGAGAACAAGAGCGAACCCTTTGTGATACACCATCGATTAACTGGTAACTCTTCCAAACCCTTCTGATTTCGTAGATCTGTGTGAGTGTGTGTTGCCTCTGCTTAGGGTTCATGTCTATAATCCCTTTCTCTGCATAAAAGGTTACGATTTGAAAAAAATTGTATGGATATTTGGGGACTCTCTATTTTAAAAAATTTCCAAATTTTTTGAGTTCAGGCTGGGTTCATTACAATTTGGGTTCATTACCAACCTGTTGAAGTGCATTTTGTTTTGCTTGGGTTCACACATTTTCGGCACAAATATATATATATATACATATATCTGTTCTTATATATAAATTTATATTTCTGTGAGTAATGAGAGCCAGTATACGTTCATAGGTGGTTGAGATCCGTTAAACATGAAAGTTTTTCCTCTCTGATTTTTGGTTTTGCAATGATCATTAAATGTATGGAAAATTTCAGCTAAAAATTCAGAATGTTAGGAATTCATTAGGTGAATGAAATATTTACACATTGCTCCACTGCTAACTTCTAACCCATTTTCCAAATCAATCCTCAACATAACTCTGTGAAGAAGGCCGTGTTATGGTTAATGCATATCTGATTCTACTAAAACACTCTGATGAAACACTGATTATTGTCAATGCATTTCGAATGTTACGAATTCAGAACCTGAATGAATTCTTATTTATCAAATTCATGTATACATAAATTCCACAGCTAGTCTCTACCTAGTTGTTGTTCGTATTGTGAATGACCACTGCGAATGCATGTCTGATTCTGTGAAATACCTATTGACTTGTCATGAAATCACGAATTTATGTTACGGAATTTTATTACCAAACATGTATGTCCATTTTTCATGTGCATGTCAATTCTGTTATACTTTCATCTCCAATGTGTTTAAAATTAAGTTCAATCTTGCATGTTATATATATTTTTTCAGTATTGTCAAACACTTGAATCAAACAACTGACAATAATAAAACATATTTTACTAGTATAGTAATAATAATGTGCATAATTATAATAAAATGCCATGGTTACAACATAACTCTGTGCAAGTGCATATGGGTCGGTAACTACTCCTACCAATATACTACTGATTAAAGATGCACAATACCCTTATCATAATTCAATGTCCATGATCGGAATCAAAAATTAAATACCGTTTCTCTTTGTACGTTTTGTTGTTGATTCATGTAAATTAATAAAAAAATGCCGATTGTTGTTATAGCGTAGCATGGCTTCGTTTACCTCTACTGCAACTTCCAGTACATGGCCACGAATGTGTGCCTGTGGACATGGCCCCTGCGTTGTTAAGATTTCCAAGTCCACCAAAAATCCAGGGCATGCCTACTTTGCATGTCCCCGCCCTTTGGTGAGTGACCCATTCTTTTAGGTCATAACTGTCCTTCTTTAACAACTCATGAAACTAATAGTTCCATAATTTGCACTCATCAACCCTGTGTCAGTTGGATTGGTTGGTGCGATGAACCCAGACGAGATAACCAAGACTATGCGTCACCCAAGGATGAATTTGTCATGCAATTGCGGGCTGATGTCATAGACATTCAACAATCCTTGCGTGTCCTTAAGACCATCGTGTATGTGCTATGCATTGTCATTGTCATTTTGTTGTTCCATATGTAAGCAACGTTACGATGTTTCAGTATGTACAAACACGTTACTATGTTGGTTATTTATTGGTAGTATGTACAATAGTATGACTTTAAGCTGCCACAGGCTTCCTCCACTTCGAAACGGTAGACGTATTAATGACTATCATAACTATGTGCACTACTAACTTCCATGGAACCTGTGGTAGTATAAAATTAATGTGCAATGGTTATATGCTGGGTAATTTAGCATCCTATGTCTCTGTTTCTTTGTTATTAATGTGTAATGGCTTACGTCTTTGTATATAACAATCGTATGTGTGATGGTAATCTTTTGTAACCGTACATTAGTAATGGCTTCCATACGTACTTCTTCCCGTACCCACTCCAAAAGCAAAGGCATTGTCACTGACAAGTCAAGCAGTCTTGAAGATACACATAATCATTTAAGCCACAAGGCCACATGGGACAGTGCCTCAATCCGAGTTTTCCTGCAATTGATTGCGAATAAGATAACTAAAGGCAATCGCCCATTCCTAGTCCTCAGCCAAGCAGGGTACAAGTCCTTGGCACGAAAATTTGAGAGAAAAACAGGAAGAAAACATGGACTCAAACAGTTGAAGAATAAGTACATGCGTTTGAAAAAAGACTGGCAAGCGTGGACAAAGTTGATGGATTCAAGCAAAGGAGTGTCAGGAATAGGGTTTGACTGTGACACCGGTATGTTTCAGGCACCTGAGGAGTGGTGGGACAAGATGTTTCAGGCACTAGAGCATGTTCCGATTGAAAAGGGAAAAAAGAGAAAGACGCCATCAAGCAGTGTTTTAAAGTCCAAGAAGGCAACAAGTGGAGCGTTAGTTATTGCGGAAAGCATAAACACTCTGACAAATGTGGTGCGAACGAAGAATCGGCAGGTTATGGTAAGGCACCTCACAGGCAACGAATCGCTGTTTACTATTTTGGAGTGCATGCATCGCCTGACAGGTATTACATCGCTGGTTGGTACGCCGTTATTCCACTTCGCCTCGACACTTATGGATAACACCGATTTGCGGGAGGTGATGATGTGCCAGCCTGATGATGACTCTATCATAGGGTGGCTTACCCAGAAGCAGCTCCAGTGTACTGCGTTGGCGCCTTTTGCAAATCTGTTCGGGGCTCGCCGGATGTGATGTATCGGTGTTACGAGTGTTAAAGATGCCTTTCCTTCTCTTGTATTCTAAAAACTTTTACTTATTAATTTGTTGGCACTGTATTAAAACAGGATAGCTGCGTGTGCATGTTTTTTTTTTCCCTTCGTTTTTGTTTTTTCTTGCTACCTATGGTTTCCAAAACTTGTAGTTCAGTGTATGGGTTAACACAATGGAAGCATGGTTGTGCACGCTTTTTGAGAAATGAATGGGATGCTTCTGTTCAAATTAAATGTATGGATATTTTCGAGAAAGGCAACAACGGATTTGCTTGCTAGCTTTGTGTATGTTTATATTTTGCAAAATTCGCTGTTAGTTTCATATTTGACGTCAACTTTTGTGGTTGTCACCACCATGGTCCCCCTGTAAATTCAAGTTTAGCAGGTTTACAATTTTTCCATTTTTCATATCATTATGTGTGAAAAATCTACAAGTTTAGCAGTCCTTAAATTACTATCAACATTTCGAATTTTGTAATTGCACATTTTCAAATTTATTGACTCGATGAAGGGGAAGCAAACTGATTGAAACAGTGCGACTCTTGTAGGTTTCGCATCAACGAAGACGTAATGAATCCCTGGGATGGAAGCAACAATGACGGAATAACGGAAATGCTTAATCAAATGGCATATATCTCTATTTCAACAGATAAACAGGGAGTGTGCCAAGTTTAGGAAAAAAAACCTTGGAACATTGTGAGTTGATGGAGACCGTCTTCATGGGGGCATCAGCTACTGGTAAGCACCATTGGACCCCGGGCGAGAAACTTCCTGAAGCTGCTGATGACTCATTTGATTCAGTGCACAGTTTGGGAGCCCAGCCATTTGCTGTTCCGATACCCGCAGGAGTGCAGGACATGGATTCAGATTCTTCACTAGAGCATGTTCCGATTGAAAAGGGAAAAAAGAGAAAGACGCCATCAAGCAGTGTTTTAAAGTCCAAGAAGGCAACAAGTGGAGCGTCAGTTATTGCGGAAAGCATAAACATTCTGACAAATGTGGTGCGAACGAAGAATCAGCAGGTTATGGTAAGACACCTCACAGGCAACGAATCGTTGTTTACTATTTTGGAGTGCATGCATCGCCTGACAGGTATTACATCGCTGGTTGGTACGCCGTTATTCCACTTCGCCTCGACACTTATGGATAACGCCGATTTGCTGGAGGTGATGATGTGCCAGCCTG